AACTAAATTAATTGTCCGTCACAATAGGTTTAGCTGAAGATGACATTCCTGTCATGGTTTTCATGGTGTCCCACACCTTTTTGGGGGGTTTTGGCTTTAAAAGCTGAACAGGAATGGTGACAGCACAGTTCCTTGGGGGGCTCAAGTGTTGCTCAGCAGCACATCAGACACGCTGCCTCGAGTCTGACATACTGAGGTCTGCTGGTGAGGTAGTCAGTGATCCAGGCCACCAGGCTGTGATCCAGGCCACCAGGCTGTGATCCAGGCCACCAGTCTGTGATCCAGGCCACCAGGCTGTGATCCAGGCCACCAGGCTGTGATCCAGGCCACCAGGCTGTGATCCAGGCCACCAGTCTGTGATCCAGGCCACCAAGTCTGTGATCCAGGCCACCAGTCTGTGATCCAGGCCACCAGGCTGTGATCCAGGCCACCAGTCTGTGATCCAGGCCACCAGGCTGTGATCCAGGCCACCAGGCTGTGATCCAGGCCACCAGGCTGTGATCCAGGCCACCAGTCTGTGATCCAGGCCACCAGGCTGTGATCCAGGCCACCAGGCTGTGATCCAGGCCACCAGTCTGTGATCCAGGCCACCAGGTTGTGATCCAGGCCACCAGGTTGTGATCCAGGCCACCAGTCTGTGATCCAGGCCACCAGTCTGTGATCCAGGCCACCAGTCTGTGATCCAGGCCACCAGGCTATGATCCAGGCCACCAGTCTGTGATCCAGGCCACCAGGCTGAATCACTGACAGCCTTGGAGTAGTCGAAGAACAGGATTCTTACAGAGCTGTGCAGCCTCTCCAGATGTGTGTATGCTCAATCCTCGTATGCAAACTGCAGGGGGTCCAGGGAGGCGCACTCATACCTCTTTCCAACCAAACCAGTTCCAGTTCTAGCTCCGTGCTAGTACTCTTCTGGTTCCAAACTGGTTCTTCCTTTTAGCTCTAGTTGTGTCCCAACAACAATGGGGGACTGCGTCGGGTCGATGATCGTGTTGCTTTTAATCTTACGAAGCCAGATTAAATTAAAGAACGACTTATCCAACCTTATACTTTTCCCTAGAGTCCTGTGGTTCATTTACCGACCGCTGCAGTGCTGCTCGTCCACCGGAGTTTAGTCTATCGTTTATTCTCCCGTTAACTCATGGCAGAGTTTATTCTTCCGTTAACTCACCGCAGCGGCCGCTGTAAAGTATTCACTGTCTGATTGTCACACAGCAGCTGATAAATATCCCCCATCCCCATACCTGCCAACCCTACCGATTTGGGCGGTAGTCTACCGCTTTTGACATGTTTCTACCGCCTACCGACTCAGCTGGCTTTCCCTACCGATTTTCAATCTTCCCAAACTATAGCAAATAAAAATGATACTACATAGACACTGGACTCGACTTTTGGCGGATACCGTTTGCAGCGTGTCTGTGATCGCATCATACAAACAGTCCTCTGTGTTTCTGAAAGAGAAACAACGTGCAGACCGTGGGTAACGCTGCCTTTCCTCTGCACCCCCGGGGCTGATGGGTAATCACTCCCAAATGAGTTTAAGGGAACAGAGACGAGGCATTTGAGTCCTGCAGGATTTCCCCGTTAATATCAGTGTCTCGAAAACACATGTTGGCGACTGAAAGACATCCAGTGTTTGGTCTTTTCATGAAGCATCCTTCACCTACAGTGTCTCAACTGAAAGAGGACCACAAACACAATATAATACCATTTTGAGATTTGGGGATATTTATCTCCCATTCTTTCACTTTTTCTGACATTTCAACACCAAACATGTCGTTAATGTCTCTGTTTAGTGAACGACAGCAATCTGAAAGCCTGTACAATATTTATACCACACTTTATCAGTAGAAACATGCAGGAAATGACTTTTTTAATGCAGTATTTTCTGATTCATGGCGCAACACAAAGATATTTCGCTCTGTGCAAACCTTTGACTCTATGTCAACAACATGAAACAAGAATATGAACCTGGCTTTATCCAATGTTCACACAAGAGTTCTACATCCTGACACATCCTTCATCTGTCTCAACTGAAAGAGGACCAGAAACACATTACAAATATAACAACATGTGGAGACTTTGGGATATTTATCTCCTATTCTTTAACTTTTCGGGCATTTTACAGACCAGACATGTCTTTGATGTCACTGTTTACCAAACTACCACTTTGTCTGAAAAATGCATAAAATGATGCAATACATGTAAATACATGGTTTATACATGTAATTACTGGGTTCCATTTCTTCTGATTACCTCATTTGGGCGTGCACATTTGCCGCGCGCAAACCTACCTCTTTTGGATTTGGAAAGGTTGACATGTATGCATCCCCATAAGTGAATGTGTTTCAGTATGAATTTAAGCTGTTGGCATCACAACACCGTTATTAAAGTGTCTATTAGACAGGTGATGTTAGCATAGCAACTGAAGCTCATCTGACTGTTTGTCGTTATCATATTCTCTACAGGCATATTTTACTGCCGTATTTTTCTTTATGATTTTACTTGTGTACTGATTCAACCTGATAAATAAAACAACAGGAAATCCTATGAGGCAGTGTGCTGGTATTCAAAACAGGAAAGAACAGCGAACGGGTGATCATTAAAAGTAAGGTAAAAACAGACAGCATCACACTATGCCTGGTTGCCTCACTTTATGTAAGTGTGTTGTTCATAAGTGTGTGGTCCCGTTGTAGGAATCGTCAGGGCAGGGGGCTTAAGATGCTGCAGGAGCAGTCTCTCAAAGATCTTCAGGTGAGTCAGAGCTACCGGCCTGTAGTCACCTAGAGGGCGGGGGCATGTCTTCTTAGTCAACAAGACAATGCAGGAGGTCTTCCAGATCTGGTGCACCTTCTCCAGCTTCAGAGAGACTGAAGAGGAGCTGGAACCAGTTACGTTTCTTCCAGAGAATGTGCTTACCTTGCAGGCTTAGCAGTGATCTATATACGTATAAAGTATAGCAACACTCATGGTTTTTCATAAAAATGTGCATTTGGATTATTAATCTTTGAATAAAGAAAACAGGTGTTGATGTCCTTATTCAAAATGGACAAATATTGCAATCTTGCTTCAGCACCTGCAGCAGACTCTGATAGGTGGAAGGAGTGTTCAACTGCACACTATACCACATATCCACATGGTGGGAAGTGCCCTACAGCAGGCTGTGTATTCAAAATACTGTAAAAGACACTGAACTCTTTTTCTTCCCCATCTTTGATTTCTGCTTATGTTAATGCTTATGTTTGCTTGTATTCATCTTCTTTTGACCTTTTATGCTTCAGGAATCAAATCAGAATAGATGTTTGATCACAGAACCGATGTGGTTATCTTTGACATCAGTATCTTGTTCAACAATGGAAAATGTGTTCAGTATTCTTAATGTTGGTGTATTTCAGAGTCTGTCTGCACTCAAGAAAATGTCTTTATAAAGCACACTAAAAAGCAACACTTTGAACAAAGTGCTGTAGGTAGCTGACAAAACATTTATCACAAACAAAAGACACAGCTGATAGGCACACATAAACAGCACACAGGCACACCACATGGAGAGGATTCAGAGTTTGGACTGGGGGGGCTTTATTCTCTATTACATTTCATTTAGCTGACGCTTTTATCCAAAGCGACTTACAATGACCAATTACAGGGACATTCTCCCTGGAGTAACTAAGGGCTAACTGCTTTACTCAAGGTCACACTAGTGGTGTTGTTCCAGGCGGGATTTGAACTCACAACTTTCCGATCTTCAGCCCACCTCACTACCCATTAGACCAGTGATTCTCAAACTTTTTTCAATAATGTACCCCTTTTTTTTTTTTAAATCAGCCACGTACCCCCTGATCGGCACAAAAAGGATTTGTTAAGGAAGAAATGCCTATATAAAGAGGTATAGTACAGCGCTGCACCATCAGTGTCTGATTTATTAAAACAACAACATTGTAACTGAGAAACACTTAAATGCTACATTTCAAATGTTTACAATCCATCACTAAATTCATGGCAAACCAAGTTTAACATCATGCAATAACACTGAGACGACATTAGTTGCATTTAACTGATCTTTTTAATAAGTTGTACAATGTAGAGAAACATGTGCTTGTGCTTCACTGAGGATCTTTGTCATTCTGACAGGGAGGCAAACTGCAGTTATTACACTTCGCGTTTTGAAACATGTGTAACTCTGTTCATATAAAACCCACACTGCTCAAACTTCCTTACTTTCCCTAAAATTGGTATATTTATTTATTTATGTTGGGGCGTGGGGAATGAAGAGGAAAATATATATGAGCATTTTATGAGCATGGGATTTTGACCCCTCATATAAACATATGCATAATGCTGCGCTATACTTTGCAGCCACAAGCCGTTGCCAAGCAACGCTTATTGTTTGAGTGGAGCAAAATTAAATACACTAAGAGTTAGACCTAACACACTTAGCTAGTTTATCTACTCTGGAACTAGCTATACTAGTTATACATATATTTATTCTTTACTGTCGGGTCACTTATTACAGGTTCAGCGAGCTGCACGAGACTGACAGGCTGTCAGGAGAGGGAGAGGAAAAGAGAGCACCCCGTTTATTTTCCCATTTTATTATCAAGAATTACTGTAAACCTTTGAATAAAGTAGTTCATCTACTATTAGTAGTTTGTTTGAATGCATTACTTATGTTGTTTTTTCATTAACATAAAATAAATCTCACATACCCCCTGCAGTACTCCAACGTACCCCTAGGGGTCCGCGTACCCCCATTTGAGAACCACTGCATTAGACCACCACTACCCACACTATTCATTCCAACGTTCAGCTTTGACAGTGATACAGTTTAGTTTGCAGCTCTCCAACAATGTAATACAGCTTGTAGTTTCTCTGCATTCTTTTCTGTCAGTTTGACTTTTGAGTTTCCAGGACTTTCAGCAGTACATTGCACTTGGGCTTTATGATGTTTCAAGACATTCATTTCACATTTCTGCAATTCCTTTAACAGTCATCATCCTCATGTGTTTTCTGCATGTACTAGATCATTTTTTGGTACAGCATTAGAGATTTATTATTTATTCTATCTACACGTTATTCTGCTGTATCATCAATATATGTGCAACACAATATGCAGTGGTTGCTTTATTTAAGTATGTTCTTTTCTTTTTTTACAACAATACAAGAAAGTATTTCAGATTCATACCCTGTATATACATATGAATATCACATATGCCACTCAATCCGAACCCCTTCACACCTGAACCACAATGAACCATGATTATGGGTCATTATAATACAGAGGGCCAGTTTGCTGAAGCACAGAAATATGTGTGTGTGGGTGTGCGTGCTTGAGTGTGTGTGTTAAAAGGGGTTTATGCGGAGTCCTGTTCCGAGAGGGGAGAAAGGGTTTACCTTTGCCCACATTAGTGCATCATTAAGAGAGATGGCTGATTTACCGTCCTCCAGGAGAAATACTGGACCCTGCACACAAACAAATAAGACAACAAGAAACATCACAAGTTGTCAAGACATGTGAGCAGGGCCGGCCCTCGGCATAGGCAGTATAGGCGAATGCTAAGAGCGCATCAACCCATAGGGGGCGCCAAAAAAAAAAAAAGTTAGAAATTTAAAAAAAAAATGTTCCCGATTTTGGATCAACAAAGTACATCTTATTATTTTATACTAACAGAACTACGCATATATTGCGTACAGCACCCATAAACTATGGCACCCACCCCCCCCAAACAAATCAAGTTGAACTGCCCCAGCCCCAGTAAAAACCAGAGGTTTATGTGAAATTGTTCTTTTTTTGAAATAATGGTTTTAGTGTGCAATTATAGGTTTTAATTTTGTATTTGTATTCATTTAAAATAAATCAAACTCCCAAAAAACGTACACAGCTTCTGTGTGCTTTTATTAACATTGGAATTTACATTATAAGCGGCCGCGGGGTGAGAGCTTTAGAGAGCTCTCTCCTGAAAGACTGAGAGGCTCTGATAACCTCAGCTCAGTGAGGTAAAGGCACACCTCTATATGATCATTATAGTTATATAAATCATGTTCAAATGGATAGGAAACGAAATACAGTTGCACGCATCTTGTTACAATATCTATCTTTCTGTGGTCATGCCACAACCGTGCACGCGCGAATCATAGTGAGTGTCTGCATTTTGGGGGGGGGGGGCTACAATCTTGCCTAGGGCGGCAAATTGGTCAGGGCCGGCCCTGCATGTTAGTGTAGATTCACACAAAGCAATACACTGAAGGAACACACACCTGTATTCTGTGTCCAGTGAAGCAGGACAGCTGAACATCTGAGTGGCTGGGCAGATTGGAGCCCGTCACATAATCTGCTCCACACAACACTGAAGCAGACACATGTTGTTCTGGTTAAACATTTCTCCTAATCTCATGTTCCTATCATCAACTTTCACACAATACATAATCCATATTAATATGGAGCCTAGCTAAACTGAAATCTGCATCATTCATGTTTCCCTGTCAGCACTCTCCACACATCAGCAATAGCAGGGTAATGTTCATCAGGGCGATAAACTGCACCGGGGGCTCCAGCTCCTGACAGACCCCCCAGCACCAACACTCCAACAAGATCCCAGAGCCACAGCAACATGTAATATCTGTCTGAGCGGTGTTTTATTTCTATACAATCCCCTCAAACTATGTTTAGAACTGTTATTTATACCAGAGTCTGTTGGCGGGATTCTCCTCTGGACGCAGATGAATTCTTCTCTTTGACACTCTGAAGGAGAACTGTTAGAAACACAGAGACAGAGGTACAGTTGTGAAGTTATGCATATGCACATAAGCAATGTAGAGGCGTCATATTGATAATCAATCAATCAATCAATGTTTATTTATATAGCCCAATATCACAAATGTTACATTTGTCTCAGTGGACTTTACAGTTTGTACAAAATATCAGTATGACAATAATAATGACAGTCACATCTGCCAGGCAAATTAAAACAAATGGTTGAATGTTCAAAACATACAGTATGTATAGGGTGTCGTGGGTGACCCTTTATACTTCTTTAAGAAAATATGAAGGATCATCATCCTCCCTCTCAACTTTAAACGTGTCCACTATTGCAGCAGTGGTGTTGACAGATGGTCACAATGATGCTGACCCCCCCCTTTCCCAGTATGTGCCTGACTATGTTTATCCACTGATCATTCAAAGTGGGTTTGCTACTCAATGTCAGGGCTGGCCCTTGGCATAGGCAGTTTCGGCGAATGCTAAGGGAGCATCAACCCATCGGGGGCGCCGAAACATTTGGGGGGGAAAAAAGAAAAAAAAGTTAGAAATAGAAAAAAAAAAAAATTACATTTCATAACAACACAATTTCCCGATTTTGGATCAACAAAGTACATCTTATGATCTTATACTAACAGAACTACGCCTATATTGCGTACAGCGACAATAAACTATGGCACACCCCCCCCAAATCAAGTTGAACTGCCCCAGCCCCAGTAAAAACCAGAGGTTTATGTGAAATTGTTCTTTTTTTTAAATGATGGTTTTAGTGTGCAATTATAGGTTTTAATTTTGTATTCGTGTTAATTTTAAATAAATCATACTCCCAAAAAACGTATACAGCTTCTGTGTGCTTTTATTAACATTGGAATTTACTGTGTAAGCGGCATTGGGGGGGGGGGAGAGCTTTAGAGAGCTCTCTCCTGAAAGACTGAGCGGCTCTGATAACCTCAGCTCAGTGAGGTAAAGCCACACCTTTATATGATCATTATAGTTATACAAAAACCAGAGAATAAATGAAAAACAGGTATAAAATACTGACAGTACAAAAAAGTTGTTATTAATAAACAAGAATACAGTTTGAAAGGGGAGTGATTTGTAAAATATCCAGAAAGAAAAAGAATATCTGCTTACAGTTCTGTTTCATCTGGGTGTTGAGAGATGTATCCATAGATCTCCTAATGTTGCTCTCAAAGTGTACCAGATTGATGCTTTTAACTTCAATATAAAAAAAAATCAATGTAGTCTAATTGCAGTCTGACCATCTTCATCAGCACTGTGTGTGTGTGTGTGTGTGTGTGTGTGTGTGTGTGTGTGTGTGTGTGTGTGTGTGTGTGTGTGTGTGTGTGTGTGTGTGTGTGTGTGTGTGTGTGTGTGTGTGTGTGTGTGTGTGTGTGTGTGTGTGTGTGTGTGTGTGTGTGTGTGTGTGTGTGTGTGTGTGTGTGTGTGTGTGTGTGTGTGTGTGTGTGTGTGTGTGTGTGTGTGTGTGTGTGTGTGTGTGTGTGTGTAACCTACTTGCTGTTGATTTGTGTGCAGGCTCGCCAGGCATCCAGCTCCACTGACAGCTGCTCGATCTTTAGAGGAACACACACCTCCCTCCGCTTCAACAACTGACTGCAGAAACAGAAACAGTGAGGGAACATGGTGATTGGCTTACTTTGAAAACGTTAATCCTATTTTAACCTGATTATGGAAACTTTCTAAGTCGAAAAATAGTGAATGAGCAGCTTCGCGTCAGGAGGAATCACTGCGGATCACAGAGCCCATTCTTTTTGTATTCCTCAGTTCTGGGTTTTTTATAACTGCTTTACCCCATGTGAATCCTAAAACTTTGCTAAGCATCTTCTAGCTAAATAGTTGCCTATTCAACAAAGCTTAATAATTATGAACACATGAATAACTGCCACTGTAACTGAGGGAGCAGGAGAGAGTGTGCAGCTGTGTTCTGTGTGTGGGACGTCTGCCAACCAGTCTTGTTCCATGGGGGCCAAACTTTGGTAAAGGTTACTTCATTTATGATGGGATAGGCAGGACTTATGGAGCAGTGGGTGCTTTTGTTTTTGTTTCCTTATTAGTATATCAGATAGTGAGGGATTTTTGTTTGAGTTGTTTTGTTTTGTTATGTATTCTCAAGCTATATTCTTTTATTTGGCATAATGCCTTTTTCTCCTCCTCCCCCTAGCTTAAAGAACATTTGCTGGAATTATTTTGGTTAATGAATACACTTGTGTTCACTTTCACCCTGACTCTCTCAATTGTATTGGTTGTTGTGTTACTGTCTCCATTTTCCCCTAGTCCTTATTGGGGACGTAACGCCTGGTATTGCTCGGGGGGGGGTCACAGTGGAGGACTTCTGCCTGGCTGGCTCTTGGTCCTCTAACTCGACTTTTGTGCAGTCGTGTTCCACTCTACTAAATGTCAATAAAGTGTACAATTCTTGGCGGACCGATTATTGTTTCTTATCAATAAATGATTTAATTTCTAGTTGCTGTGTGGCTTTTGTTAGACTTGCCATGTATATGTAGTAACTGTTTCATGGCGACGTTGTAAAACACTGAATCACCATCCCTCACGGCCTAATGCGTATGTAGTGTTGAACAGGGAGATGAGAAGCATTTACTTCATCTTTACAACTTCAGAAAAACGTTTTATACTAAGTACACACATACACCATCAAGTAATTGCTTTTTCAAATGCATATTGCTAGATATTGTTTTAAAATATTCTAGCAATATATAGACAATTTAAATACATATTAATGGCTTATTCTGCATGTCCTAAGTATGTATGCTGCGTGTATTTTGTTGTCTAATGTATGTATAATGTATAATGACATTAAACTATTCTATTCTTATTATAAAACTATGAGGCAACCAAGAGATAGAAGCATTATTATTTATTATGATTTTCCTATATACACTCGTAAACCAGCACTCCTTCTCCAAACAAACACACACACACACACACACAAACACACAATTGTGTATCTACCTGGTGTATTCGTAGAGGGCAGGAACGATGCTAGAGTACTGTCTTCTAATGGCCTGCAGACCTCCAATATATCCACACAGGATCAACAGCTCACTGCGGACTCTGCACACACACACACACACACACACACACACACCATAAGAGATAAAGGAGTGATTATAAAGTATTTAATTGTCTTGGGACAAAACAGCAAAATAAACATGATTAAAATTACAGCGTTGAGCTGTTGTCCGCACGTCGACGTGTCACGCAGGTGTTTTCCGGACTCGGCCGTTGGCAAACGTGGGAAGTTTCAGGCCGATCGGACAACATACATGGGAGTTACAGCAGTATCATAAACATTGTGTTTGATGGCGAGTGATCTGTCGCCATGGCAACGGCATTTTATGACACCCCATAATACGCCTAGATGTGTTGAGGGCTACATCGTTATCAAACCTGTTAAGTTTTGGGCCATTGGGAGCATGTTCAACGGAGTTATGAGAAAACCGTGTTTCATCGCGAGCATTGTGTTACCATGGCAACGGCATTTGACTAAATCTCAAAACTGACACATATATGTCTTTAGAGCTGTACCGTTAGCACACGTGAAGTTTGAACACTTATTGACCATTTACACAGGAGTTATAGTAATATCGTGCTTAACGGTGAGGGATGCGTTGCCATGGCAACAGCTTTTGAGGAAAACGTACTATTGTCATATTGAGGTGTTGAGGGCCGGACCATTTTTTATGTATTTATTGTCAAAGCATTTAATGTATTCATTGCTATCTGGATGTTAAGAGCATTCCATGGAATACAACAAAACGTTTTTCTGAAGCGAATTACCTACGCTACCTTTAACTGTCTTCTGAAGTCTGGTGCTCTTTTTACCATTTCCATAGGAGTTACAGCGACATCGTGTTTTTTAGTGGGGGATGCGTTGCCATGGAAACGGCATATGGTGAGATCTCAGATTTTACGTAGAGCTGTTGAGGCATGGACCGGTGATATACAAGTGAAGATTAGGGGATTATGGGACCGTGTCCATTGGAGTTACAGCGACATCGTGTTTTATGTCGAGGGATGCATTGCCATGGTAACGCCACATTATGTATCATCAGATTTGACATAGAGCTGTTCAGGGCTGCAGTGTTAACCATCATGTGATGTGTTGTGGCGTTCTGAGCATGTCAGTTGGAGTTATGACAACATCGCGTTCCATGGCGAGGAATCGCCTACTATCGAGCGAACGCGAAATTCGGCACCAAATTACGGCTCTGCCGTGCGGAAAAAAAAGAGTTCCGTGATTTCTCGAGACGCTACCCGACGAATTTGGAGTCTATCGGATAAAATCCCTAGGAGGAGATATTTGAGTACGGAGGACACCAAATAAAAAATGGCCGACTTCCTGTACGTTATACCTCTCCAAGAGGTTTTTTTGTTCGTCTCTGCACCCTAGATATACGTAGCGAGTTTCGTTCGTTTACTTGAAAGTTAAAGTGGGGGAGTTTACATTAAAACCGGAAGTGGGCGTGGCCTACGCAATTTTTGACGCAAAGTTCCGGAACCAATTACACATCCCAATTTTCACGAGTCCTGACGCGCGTGCAACATTTGGTGAGTTTTCACATGTTGCGGGGGTCAGAAGTGCGCGCAATGTATTTATAATAATAAAACGCCAGCGCCCATGTCACTAGAATCGTGCGGACCATCCGCCGTCATGATTTCGGAACCTTTTCTGTGCTTTTGCTGGTCGTTTTCCCTGTTTTATGTGTGTTTCGCAGGTTTACGGCTCGCTGTGCGAGCGATTACAATAGGGTCTTCGCCGACCTCTGGTCTCAGACCCTAATAACTGTTAATAGTAATAATGAGATAATACATGATCTTACTCTGTCAAATTGGCCATGGTGAGGCAGTCGGTTCTGATGTAACTCATCAGGTCCAGGATGGGCTGAACATTGTCCACTGTCCAATCAGACCCAGCCAGCTGTTCTGGTGGGGAGGAAACAGGGAGAGATAATAGTCAGTGCTTTTTGAGGACAAAAACAGTAGTACATTCAGATTGTTTTATTTAGTTTGACACATTAAGAAGATATTGTTTTAACTAACTTAATTAGATATGCATATATATTAGTAATTTGTGAAAAATGTATTGATCGTACACTGTATTTCAAATCAAATCAAATAAAGAGTGCAGATTTCTTCATAAATTGGTTTGGAAGCTGCTTATTCCTAGATTACACACAAACATTGTCAATCACACCGACTGACGGCATTAAAATCGTACTATTAGAACACACTACGCTACCATATAATAGTGAGGATATGATATCATATAGGTAACCACACACAGCCAACAATAAAACAAATACCTTTAACGTGATCCAGACCTATCCACAGAGCCTTCTCAGGTTCAGAGCTCAGCAGGTGGAATTTAACTGCCAACAACAAATCTCCTTCACATATGGCTGCTTCTGCCAAGGACTTACAATCCTCCAATGAAGGCAGACCGCACTTGAATGACAAACAACACATAATGCTTGTCACTATAATCATCACACATAATATCATCAATATCAGACATGGAGTCTCTCTTTTATTTCCTCCACAACATGTCTTAGATGTACCTGAATGAGTGCCAACTCACCCTCTTATGAAAGAGATTGATTTCTGCAGGGCTTCCTGGGTAATATGCACACAGCTTAGCCAGTAAAATGTCATTGTCAGGAATCATTTGCACTAGGTCAGCCGAGAGCTCCCTGAATGTAAACAAGGCACAGATGAAAGTTTCTTCTTGATGGTGTTTAGAAGCAGCCGCTGTCAGTGTTTGATGAGCACAGGTGGAGCACCCTGCTCTTCCACAGGCACACATTGAGAAATGCAGATCTGAATTCTGGCTGACTAATAAAGTCCAAGCCAAAAATTGTTTGGCAGTCAAAGGGCTAATGCATAAACTTCATCACGGATCATCATGTGTCATTATGCAATGTCCAACATAGCCCGTAAAGAAATAACGGTTTTCAGCTAGCTGGATATGAGCAACATGGGGTTTGCAACAAACTAAATTAAATGTAACATTTTACATTACAACAACATCACAACATTTTGAAGGATTAAGTAGCCCAAAGAAGCTAAAACTGGTTTGTTTGGATCAATACTAAGATATACAGAGGAATAATGAATGTTACACACAATGGTGCACATGCATGGATGGAGACGTACCATGTAGGTGTCATCATGTACTTCCTGGCCAGGAGTTCAAGACAGTATGCAGTGCTCTGGTTGGCTGCCTCTCCAAGGACTATACCCACACATGCAGCCAACTCCAGCTCATTACCTCGGATATGACTTGACATGGCTAACTAAAACACACACACACACACACACACACACACACACAAACAGACAATATTTTTGTTTTAATCCGCTTTCTCAGAGAAATATTAAAACTAACAAATGCAAATCTGCTGCAGGTAAGCGCACCTTGATGTTGTCCACAGCGAGGTGGCAGCATGCAGCCAGAACGGAGCATCCATCCTGGAAGTACCACTCAGCGAGTTCCTTACAGACCTTATGGAGGAGACTGGACAAACAAGCCAATATAGCCAGGGACTTTTATAAATACATCTCATCTCCTCATCTCATTTTAGAGAGCATTTAAATGAGACTAAACATTTCCTAGAGGTCCACTCTAATTGGGAGTTACAAGTGAAGTTAGAGACTCTGAATGGACCACAGTCAGCAGGACACGTACCAGCTGAAGTGAAAGTGAGCATAAGTTTAACCAAACATGACAAAAACTGTACCTGCTACCTAAGACTAACACTAAGAAGTGTTGCTAACTATTTTAATTTAGATATGATTCTCTTCTTTAAATTAATATTTACAATAACAGTTTGATCCCTCGTGTTTTGGAAAGACAATTCTGCAATTGTTTGCCATGCGATGAAAAAAGAATAACTTGTCAAGGTAGCTACCAAGGATATTTCATTAAAAAGTCAGCTGTGTGTGTGTGTGTGTGTGTGTGTGGTGTGTGTGTGTGTGTATGTGTGTGTGTGTGTGTGTGTGTGTGTGGTGTGTGTGTGTGTGTGGTGTGTGTGTGTGTGTGTGTGGGTGTGTGTGTGTGTGTGTGTGGTGTGTGTGTGTGTGTGTGTGTGTGTGTGTGGTGTGTTGTGTGTGGTTGTGTTGTGTGTGTGTGTGTGTGTGTGTGGGTGTGTGTGTGTGTGTGTGTGTCAACAGTACTCCCTCCCATCCCGTCACATATTGACGGACGGGTCAGGGCCCCTCCCCGTCGCTATGTGACCGTACAGGGTACCCCTTGCCCGTCAGGGCTTCTACGGGCAGGGCGTCCCATAGGACCTTCATAGACCACGTGATCAACAAAAATGGCCGACCTTCGTGTTATTCTCGGTGGAAAAGGCCTATTTTAAGGTTCATTGGCCAATAAAATGCGTTTTGATGTCATTTGATGCGATTAATATGAGTTGTTATTTCTGATTATTTGTGCAGTACATGTACATGATGTTTAGTTTGCTAGTTATGACGAAGATTACTTCATGAATGTGTACACATTCATGGTTGCTAAGGTGGTTGCTATGGACGCTACAACAGCTCCCAGACCACGTGATCAACAACAATGGCCGACCTTCGTGTTATTTTCGGTGGAAAAGGCCTATTTTAAGGTTCATTTGGCCATTAAAATGCGTTTTGATGTCATTTTATGCGAGTAATGAGTTTTTATTTCTGATGATTTGTGCAGTACATGTACATGATGTTTAGTTTGCTAGTTATGACGAAGATTAATTCATGAATGTGTACACGTTTTTTTGGTGGAAATGTGTTTTTTCACAGCAAAGTCACCCTCTGTACTTGGATTTATTGGGAGAATCTAAAGGCAAGAACATCCCAAATATTCATTTAGGTCTTTATTTTAGACCTTTAGTGTTGCCGTCTGTGAGGAAAATAAATGGGGCTCAGAGCCTCGTATTTTTAAAATCTTTTTTTCCTTCTAATTTGTTATTGTTTTCAAAATAGCACACTGTTATTTACTCACCAATAACACACAATTATCCTTGCTTTTATTTATTGGTTTAATTCCATAATCTCGGGCTTTTTTGGCGTCCGTCAGGAACTGAATTTCAAAATAAAAATAACCGGAAACAGACGTAGGCATTTCGAGCGATTACCCAAGATCCTCAGCTACGCTGATTGGATGTTTTAGCCGCAATGCATGCTGGGATTTGGTGTTTATATTATATGAAATCCGGAAAACATTTTTAAAATAATAAAATAATACTTAATTCCGAGCGCTCTTGCTTTTCTCTTTGAAAGTCATCACATAACGGCATTGTAATACACGGTTCGGCTGCATTACATATTACAGATCTGCCGTAGTTCTTTATTTATAGAGCCCTGATGAGAAGACCTTTGGAAAAACTGAAGAAATGCCGCCGAAACTGAATACTTGACGTGGATCATAAATATTTCAACAATTAAACAACATCTTCAATTTCTCTTCACACAATACGTCTCCTTGCAGTATCAACACTAATTCGGCTGACTTTTACATTTGATATAATTCATAGATAGGTTATATTTACACCATAACGGTGCACAGCTTATATAAAAGGATTTGTAGTTTTTAAAGATATTACTGATTTGAATTGGATTGCATTTTGAATGTAAGAATGTAAATACTGAGTCTGAAATAGTATAGCAATTTGCTGTAAAATGATGTGAAAGCATGAATAAAACTACACATCTTCAGATGTTGTACATACAAGTGTCCAACACTAATAATACAAAGTTATTATGGCTGTGTGTACCTTGTGTGCACCGCCTAGTGGTTAAAGCACGTTATTGAATTATTGTTTTTATGTGTTTTATTTGTTTAAAAAAATATTAAGAGTACATACTTTCATAGGGGGAAAAGTATAAATATAGAATATAAACAATCAAGAAGATACTATAAGTGATCTCTACAATAAAACAGTTTAGTGCAGGATGTACAACGATATTAATAGGAGGATGTGCAAAACAGAAAAACGAATTAACCTTTATTTAAACATTAAATAACACTTTAGGTTAAGGTCTTCTTTTAAATAAGAAAAAACATTGGGGGTATCTACAGATAAATATTAAGCCTGACAAAGTACTTAACGTCTAATATATTGCTTTCCTGCAATGTTAACTATGTTGAAGCACTTATTTTAACTGATATTATACATATGGATTATACTCGTATGTATGTAGATAGAATAAGAAATGTGCAGAATATGACAGTTTAATGGTGGAGGGACACACATATTGATAGATGTCTTGTAATAAACTGTTGATTGCATAACTACACCGTAGCTGTGTATATGATATCATATGTCAATAAACCTTTGAAAATCTTGAAAGGGATATGCAAAATAGCCATAATATACAGTCTTTAATTAACTATTAGTAGAGAATAACGAGTAATTAATATACTTTATTACTCGTTTCCATTCATGTCAATTGCAGATACATGTTTAGTCTTCTCAAGCACCAACTATCAAATATCTCTCCTGATTGTTGGCACTTGACAATCACCTTACCTGAATTTTACTCAGGTGTAACTAAAGTCTGATTTAAGGGTTGTTTATATTTCACATCATTAATCAGAATCTGCAAAGTAACTAAAATAAGTGTAGTGGAGTAAAAATACCAGGTTAACCTCTGAATTGTAGTTGAGTAGAATTACAAAGTAACAATGAGCTGTCATGTGGGTATATATTAATGCTATATATTAATGCTGCGCATTATGGACAGCGATTTTCACCCATTTATTAATTATATGTTTTACATTTGATAACACCAATGTGTTTAATACTGGCAACTTCTAATTGTGGGGAAAACGTTCAGTAGAGACGTCCCATAGAACATTTTGCGAAACACAATAGTGTAGTGTATAGTTCTGGGGGGGCGTTCAATTCCAGTTTCGGATAGTCTGGCGTGGTTTCGTTCCATTTCAAACAGCTGTTTGACGCTCGTTGTAACCTTGGCGCACTGCCACTCCAACATCCAATCCCAGACCTTGAAGATTAATCACGGGGACTGTAGTCCTAAACGATAGCTGGGGATTATGGGTAGTGTCGTGTCTTCGGCAATCCTAAACTCAAAAATGTTGACAATCGCAATGATGCTCGAAATGTCCCTTATAGGTCTACGTCTGTTTCCGGTTATTTTTATTTTGAAATTCAGTTCCTGGCGAACGCCAAAAAAGCCCGAGATTATGGAATTAAACCAATAAATAAAAGCAAGGATAATTGTGTGTTATTGGTGAGTAAATAACAGTGTGCTATTTTGAGAAGAATAACAAATTAGAAGGAAAAAAAGATTTTAAAAATACGAGGCTCTGAGCCCCATTTATTTTCCTCACAGACGGCAACACTAAAGATCTAAAATAAAGACCTAAATGAATATTTGGGATGTTCTTGCCTTTAAAATTCTCCCAAAAGTCCAAGTACAGAGGGTGACTTTGCTGTGAAAAAACACATTTCCACCAAAAAAACGTTAGCAACCATGAATGTGTACACATTCATGAAGTCATCTTCGTCATAACTAGCAAACTAAACATCATGTACATGTAATGCACAAATAATCAGAAATAAAAACTCATTAATCGCATAAAATGACATCAAAACGCATTTTAATGGCCAAACATGAACCTTAAATAGGCCTTTTCCACCGAGAATAACACGAAGGTCGGCCATTGTTGTTGATCACGTGGTCTGGGAGCTGTTGCAGCGTCCATAGCAACCACCTTAGCAACCATGAATGTGTACACATTCATGAAGTAATCTTCGTCATAACTAGCAAACTAAACATCATGTACATGTACTGCACAAATAATCAGAAATAACAACTCATATTAATCGCATAAAATGACATCAAAACGCATTTTATTGGCCAAATGAACCTTAAAATAGGCCTTTTCCACCGAGAATAACACGAAGGTCGGCCATTGTTGTTGATCACGTGGTCTATGAAGGTCTATGGGACGCCCTGCCCGTAGAAGCCTGACGGTCAAGGGGTCCGCTGTCCGCAATGAAGGTCTATGGGACGCCCTGCCCGTAGAAGCCTGACGGGCAAGGGGTACCCTGTACGTCATATAGCGACGGGGAGGGGCCCTGACCGTCCGTCAATATGTGACAGGATGGGAGTGAGAACGTGTTGGTGTGTGTGTGTGTGTGTGTGTGTGTGTGTGTGTGGTGTGTGTGTGTGTGTGTGTGTGTGTGTGTGTGTGTGTGTGTGTGTGTTTGTGTGTGTGTGTTGTGTGTGTGTGTGTGTGTGTGTGTGTGTGTGTGATTTACCTCTGGTATTGTTGTGTGCTATCCACATCATTAGTTGTGTGGTTCACTGTGGAGCTGTGCGGTGCACGAATGTTCCCTTCGCAAGCTCCCTAAAAATATAGAACATCATATCCTCTTTATTCATGTATTCATGCAGACTTAAAGAGAAAAGCTGTCCCCCGTCATTGTGTCCCCCCCCCTACCTGTGCTATCATCAAGGCTTCCTGAAGCTGTCCTCTGCCAGTGAAGAAGCTCACCAGTTGTTCTATGTCTCCTGTGGCGATGCCGTATGGGATAGCATCATCGTTATCCTCAGCCATCAGCTGCTCAGCTCTCCTGTCACATGAGCAATCACAATTACATACCATAAACAGCACATAAAGATGTTGTCTCTGTATTCATATTTAAAAGAAATAAGATGGCACACTTAATAACTGAATTTACCATTCAAGATTGATGTTAGTATTAACACATAATAAGGTTTTATAAGAGCTTATCAGAATACCTTTTGACTAACGCTCGTTACAGAGTGTTTCCCTGTAGGCTGCATCTTGTTGGTTATTGTTGAGGACAGAGTTAGTGCTTTCATTATGATGGCTTAACATATGACCTGATACTAGTGACAGCCTCTGAGGTTATCAGGTCTCTGTTCTGAACAATGTCTTTGTATGCAAGGTTTTCACATTGGATAGCATTGCACTATTCAAGTGTTGCTCTTATTTTGCCACCTCTTTTGATCTAAGGTTGGGGTTAGTAGCATTGCTCAGTGATACACACAGTGAGACAGTCGCGTCATGTGATTAGCAAACCTGTTTAACAGTCCTCCTAGCAGTTTACACGCTGAAAGACTTGTTTTTATTGTTGTTCGCTGACACTTTTATTGTTAGAAGCTGACAAATAAAGCTGACGAATCAACGTAACCATAGTTACCTCTGCATGAGATTCTTCCAGTATTTCATGGAGACTCCTGGAGCCACAGACAAGGCTTTCTCCCACTGAAAGAGAGGGAGTAAGGGCATTGTTATACTCAATCAGCCTCAGCTACATTTGCAAATCATTTCTTTCTTTTCATATCTATTTGTTTCTAACATTAGACTGAGTCGTTTGATGATGCTCAGACGTCTCTCTCATCACATCTTCTTCGTAGACATTTGAAAGTGTATTATGATAGTGTGAGGGTGAGGCCGTCTAAATCTTTCCTATGATATTGTCAAGATCTGTCTGTGTTGTGTTTTGTCTTGTCTTTTTCTGTCTTTGGTTTCCTGTTTTGTTTTGGAAAGTCTTCACCTCCTGTCTTGCCTGTTGCTGTCTGTCTGTTTTCCCTCCTACCTGATTACCCGATTGTGTTCACCTGGTGCCCCTGTGTTTTCTCCTCCCTCCTCACCTGTGTCTTGTTTGTGTGATTAGTCTTGTGTGTATTTAAGTTCTGGTTTTTCTGTCTGTCTTTGTCGGTTCGTCTTGTGTTATGACTTGGTCTTCGGTGAGTGTTCTGTTCTGTCTTTGTTTATCGTATAGCCTTGAAATAAAGGAGTTATTTTTGACACTTTAATCTGCATTTGGGTCCTGCTTCCTGCACACACCGTAACAGATATGACATAAGCCTGTCTTAGGGATAGCTCTGCCCTAAAAAGGCATGTATAGAAAATGCAGTGCTTACTTTTCAATGCTTACCTCTACTCATACAGCTCTCCATTCACTACTAGAGAACTGTGAGTACTATTCTCTCAATCTTTCATAAAGAGTTTAGACAGTATCTCTCTTATAACTATTCTTTGACCAAGGACTTTCTTGCAAATAAATCATATGTATCCATCTCAGTGATCCTCTGAACTGTCATATGTGCAGTATAAGCGCATATATGCTGATATAAATGAAGTCCTCGTTATCGTTTGCTGTGCTGCTCACAAATAGGTTTCCAATCATGCATAGACAATAATGTCTATTTGAATGGAGACCAGCAAATAGATGATTTGATATTGACTGATAATATTTAGTTTTGTTTAAAGTACAACACCATTTAGGTCGACATTGTATTAAAGCATCAAAAGGGAGTTATGTGGAGCCAGACAATAATTAAGGAGCACATTGTTGAATATTGAAATGGGTAAACACACACACACACACACACCTGTCCCAGCTCCACCATTAATTCGCAGTATCGTTGGACCTGTCCCAGTCTCAGGTGGATGTCTGCGGCTTCTTTCAGCCTCTCCTCTTTACTGGGGGCTCCGATCCCCCCTCCAAATTTAGACATCTTTACTATAGTGAGCTCCTGCGCTTCAGACTGAAAGAAAATAGAACAGGTCAAACTGGAGTGAAAACACTTGAAATACACTGAAACCTCTTGGACTTGGCCTAAAAAAGAAAGCTGCATTCAGTGTAGTTATGTAGTATTTAAATGAAGAGGATAGCATGATAAGTATGATAAGAAAGATGTAAATTGTATAAGTGGTCTTCTAGTTAAATCATGGCACTATGAACTAAATATAGTCCTGTATTATAATACTTTATTTCTTTTCATAATCTTTCATTATGTTCTTTATTTTCTGTATGTACTGTGCTCTGGCTAGTTACTGGGTCAACATGCATTTGTTTACATTAGTAGAACCATGCACCCGTTGAACAGTAACTCAGAGGATCCTCACCGTTTTAAACTTGAGCAGGTGCTTCATGTGCATCACCCCCCCGCTGTAGCTGGGAGGCAGCAACGAGTCGTCCTGCCCGCTGATCACAGACACCAGGTCCCACAGGTTGCTGCTGCCCCCTGGAGGCTGAGCAGGGAAATGTACACACAGGGTCAGAAATACAAGGAGTATTTAGGATGAGATAAGATAGACTTAGAAGCCATATAAAAAAGGAATGGATCCTTACAATATGCCAAATGACACAAATTCTATTGGAGAAAGTGTTTGGAAATACACTTTAATGTTATTTAGTAAAAACATTTTGTATAAGTTTATTATTTCTTGTGTTTAGTTGTAATATAATATTACAATATTTATACTAAAAACAGACAATCCCAAGTTTAACATAAGTAAACATAAGAAAAAAAGAGGGGGGGGGCTTTATGTTGACTCATTCAGATTCAACTAAGCTATTCTCTATGGGCTCTGGACAATGTGTTACTTTACTGGAGTAATGTCAATCAAATCTATGTTTATGGGCAAAATCTTCTCACAAGTCTTTGGATGTGAAAGATCATGTTTGATACACAGTACCAACCCAAGAGAGGACCTAAACAAATTAGACATTCAGATATATTTTAATTTGATATCGGTATTTATACACTGAATTCTAGATTTGTCCTATATGCTGGGCCCAGAATACGGTTAGTTGTTTATCAATAATAAATTAGGGAGAGTGTAAACATGTGTAGCAGCATAACATAATGCATGTTTGTACAATCTAAATGAAGAACGTTCAGAAAGCAGGTACCGAAAAGCACTCAGAGAACCAGCGCAGCTTCTTGGCCCTGGTGTCACAGCTCAGTTTATCCAGCTCCTGCTTGATGTCTCGAGACACTTTCCCACAGAGCAGCGGGGGGGCGCCGGGGACCATCGCTGTGTCTGCACACACACACAGGCAGCAGGGTTACAGGAGCTGTAAGGACAGAGGGCGTCCTGCAGGGCGGAGTCTGACCTGTGCTCCCGTTGATCCTGTCCCAGGGCTGCTCTGTGAGGATGTTCAGCAGCAGAGGGGCCACCAGGGGGGCGAGGGACCACAGCCGCACCGTGCTGTCCCTGCTGCAGCTCGCCATGGTGAAGGGGCGGCTCTGATGACATGTTAAACCTGCACACACACACACGTTTCAAAACATAATGTCGGCACTCGTGACTGCAATATTAAACTTTCTAAACCCGTCTCACAACATTTGAGGCTACAGCAGGGATACTATTACAGATCATCTAAAACTGAATAAATACATTATATTATATATTTAAAAAGACAATCATATAAATACATTTTAGTTTTTTGACTCATACAGTATATAAAATAATTCAGTCAATCCCGTTAGTATTGAATCACAGAAACAAAATAAATATATAAAGACTACAACTAAACTTAACCTAGCAAACACACTCATAAATAACTCAAACTAACATTTAATTTAAAAGTCAAAGCTAAAACTAAATCAAATCTCTGTCAAATTAAAAGCGATTATAAGCCTTGAGTACAGCATTCCATATCTCATTTGAATGGCCTGACTTCCGTGAAACTGGCAGTTTTCATCCCATTATTATAGCGGGGGGGGTTCAGTCTTACCGTACACATCAGCTCCGTGGTCGTAGACTGTATCTAAACATGTTCCATCTCTAGTGTCCCACACTCTGATCGTATAATCCCAAGACCCTACAAAATAAAACAACATTTCACACTGTAAAGAACAACTACTCTGACAGTGCAGTCCCATCACTGTGAAATGTAAAGTACATCACACAGTTTAAACACAGAGGCACTTCAAAGCCATATCAAAAGTTAATGTCATTTGTTGGTCAGGTGAATGGACTTTTGTCAACGTAAAATCAGCCATTTTAGCTATGTATTATTATGGATGCAACAAATGAAATGTCAGCTGGCTTTAGCGAATCATTAAGACATTCTCCTATTGTGCCATCATTGTTTTATTTAAACAGGAGGTAAACACATACAAAAGTGAATGTGTCGGCTCATAAGTAGGAGCATTTATATTCTGTAGGGCTGCCAATCTATGCTACTGAAGAGCCATGGCTCCTGCCTTTAAAATGATTGAAAGTAGGAGCCATGATGTTGACATTTTTAAATCATTGTAATTCATCAGCTACTTTTTCCCCTGTCAAATTCTACATTGCACTTTAGGGAGGTTCTAGAACTGAACACACATACACAATGACAACATATTGATTACAAATCAGTCGGTTTAAAAGAAGATTATTATAAACAATGTTAGTGACGCTACCTGAAATGAGGAGGTACGGAACCTCAGTGTTCCACAACAAGCCTCTGACCGGAGCTGTGTGCCCACTCAGCACGTTGATACAGGCGTCCTGTGTGTAGTCCCATATACGGACAGTCCTGCACACACACACACACACACACACACACACACACACACACACACACACACACACACACACACACACACACACACGCATTACATTGACTTACATCCATAACCAACACATTCCTAACCCTAACCAAGTCTTCACCCTAAAATGAATGATTCCCCTCATGGGGACCTCCATTTTGTCCCCATGAGGGAAGCCAGTCCCCACACGTGACTGTGTAAACAGATTTAGATCCCCACAAGTATAGTAATGCTAGGCCACACACACACACACACACACACACACTTTGTTACATGATTTTATTTAGATTTCATTTTTGAATATGTTATGCTTGTTTACTTTACTATGTAAATTGCAGGTTTATTTACATATGACTGTACTTTTAATAAATGCCGTGAATACATGTTGGATCCTGAATGTGTGTGTTTATTAAAAAATCATAATACAAAATAAAGGCCTGTTGACTTGCTGTGCTAAACATCTCCAATAACGGAACAATTATAAAATAACTTGGTGGCTGTAAAAAAAAAAATAATAAGATATCCTAAGAGTAGCATTTTGTAGTTCACACATTAAACTTTGTATTTTAGGTTTAATATTCAAATTGTATTCCTTTTTTTGCAAATTATCATTTGATGCAGCAGCAAGAACGATTCTTCATAAAATGTCCATATTATTCAAGAAAAAACAATACCTGTTCTTATTTCCCGTAGCTCTGTGTGTGTACTCACCCATCATCTGATCCAGAACACAGTATTCCCTCTCTGAGTGGAGACCAGCGCACATGGAAGACTTTGGCGAGGTGTCCAGTGAAGACCTTCAGAGGCTGGTCGGAGCTGGTGGCCAGGTAGTACACACGGACATTTTTATCCTCACAGCCTGTAGCGATCATGTCCCTGCAGGGGAGAGACAGGCAGGGGGAATTGTGAAACATCCAGACGGTGACTTAACACCTTCCATTTCTGACAGTAATAATGTGCTACAACATTTCTATAGACATGGTGTAGACAGTGGTCGGATTTTACAGTGACATCAGCTGTTCACCCCAGCTGTTCAGTGTGACTGTTTGGTATGAGAGTAGGTATGAGAGGAGAATAGAGACACTACATATATGTAGAGTCTCTACATGCTTTACTTTGATTGGGCTTCTTTTTTATATAATCCTGCTTTGTTTAACTAGTAATATCTTGTCACTATGTTTTAATCGTTGAAAAGAAGTTGGTTTTTCATTTGATGTATGTCAGGTCCAGCTGTATTTAAACTGTTGAAATGATTCAAAGCAGTAAAGAAAAGATTATTAGATCTAATAACATGGAGAATGCATGATCCCCCCCCCCCCCAAGTAAGGCGGCTGTGGATTGATGTCCTACTTGTTGTTCTGGCTCCAGTCACACCCAAACACCGCAGCAGGATGTTTGTACTTATGGAGGATTTTACCATCGATGGTCCGGATGATACTGTTTTCAAAACAATACACAATATGTAAACCTTTATATGAAGGACAGATATATATATATATATATATATATATATATATATATATATTGGCAATAGAACAAACTTTAGCCGGAACAGGGAGGATGAGGACTTACCAGAATCCATCTCCACTACAGGTAGCAATCCTCTTGGAGTCCTTATGGCTCCATGATATGCAGAATATACCATTCTTACCATGCTGAAGGAGGACACAGAGGTTGTCAATGCGCACACCATAATACCATCATCTTAATAAGTTGAAGTTACATGTTTCACAAAATAATTGTTGGCAAGGATAGACTAATCACTACTGGCGCATTTCAACTGCAGCACCTAGCACGGCTTAGTACGGTATGGTTAGGCCTTGGTAGGCCAGGCTCCCTTTAAGCTGTGTTCCCATCACAGTTTAGTAACAGGGGTAGTAACTATAGTAACGCAGTGTAGGCGGGCCGATCGGCTGTTCGGCGGGCGGAGCGAAGCTGCGTAAAACTGCCGTGACGTCATCTTCAATGTGAACCACAAAACCAAAACCTCAGCCGTTAGCTGTTAGCACTCAGAGCTCACAGCTCCTCATATCTGTTCAGAAACTAGACAAAAGTTAAACAAGTACAAACCACAGACTGCCTGTGTCATGGCGAATACAGTCGCTGGTTTATTTATGTCTGTATAGGCCGTTGTTGTGAGTGTGGACGGTCGGAGCATATACAACGTTAGCTTAGCCAAGCTCCATTTAGAAAACACGCATTTTAAAAGGTTTTCGCCTGCCGTCTGTCTGCAGACAAGTATCAGTATGTTGTTACTTCGGCATCATTTTGAAACGCGTATTACAATGAAATCACGGTCAAATATGTTCATCTTATTGTAGTTGTAGCCCCCTTGCCAGCGATTCTCTCTGACCATTCAGCAGTCGAGAGTGTTTACGTCACTGGTTTAGCATATTCAGCCCAGTTGTTGGCCCGGTAAGAACCTCGATTTTGGAGGGCCAGAAAAAAGCCCTGAGTACTACCCCTAGTGGAAAAGCAAAAAAAAGCGGGCCTGGTTTGGCCCGGCCCGCTTAAACTGTGCTACGTGCTGCAGTGGAAAAGCGCAATTAGAGAGCAAACTCTCTAGCTGGTATGGAAACAACCCTTTTCAGAGTGTCAGTAGAAGAAAAGGAGAAGACAGCAGCAATACTGTAACCTGTTGAGCGTAGTGGTACACTGTCCTTTTTCCATACACTAATGCTACAGGGACTCAGCTTGAAGTCATTTTTGAAGTCACAGTAACCTCATTAAAGCGAGTGATGATCTTTCCTTTCCTGACGTCCCAGATGAACGCTCCATTACGAGACGTTGCGCCTGCTATGCAGTTCAGATCTCCTTCAAAACACAAAGGTCACCACATTTCACATTAGACACAGATGATGCACTTTACTAAACTGTTGGGATGGGAACAAGGGGCAACCTCTGAGTCTGGAAAGTAAAGCAACACATGGCCAGCAGGGGTGACTCCATTGGTAAAAAAAACATTGATTGTATAAAAGACTGTGAGACTTCTCAGTGAATCTTTTCCTAAATAGTTGATCTCAACCCAGATGAAGTCTCCTTCATTACAGCATGATTCAGGATTATGGCATTTATTTAGTAAATCTTGTTCAGCATTCAGTTGTACTTTGACCCTCTCGGTCACTTTTGGTTCCAAAAGGCAACAACGGCCAAGTGCCAAACTCGAGGTTACAAAGCTGTAGTGCACACACAGTGATGTCACCTGACATGTTTGTGCATGTGTTTTGTGGGCTGCTAACATCAGATTGGATTCTGTATGTGTGTGTGGAGTGTATCTACCTGGAGCCCAGGACAGTGAGTATACCACTCCTTCGTTGCCAGGCGAGGTGTAAACTGCTGTCAGAGTGTTTGTGTCCCAGATTTTGATGGTTCCATCAAAGCTAGCAGTGGCCAGCAGGTTGGGGTCGTCTGGCTTAAACTTACAGTCAAAGATAGTCTCTACATGCCCCTGGAAACAACACAACACGGTTTGATTCTGTTCACTCAGTCATATGTAAGCATGTGTAAGCTGTTACGTTTACAAAGAAGGTTATAGAATACCAAGTCTCGTAGGAAGTCCCACTTCTTGGCCCCCATGTCATATAGCCCCACCCCACCATCCATGAAACAGCACACAGCATGGCCCGGAGGCAGAGAGAAAGACCGGTTCTGGGACAGGGTTGGGGGAGGGACAGCCTCACTGGTGGAACTGGTGTGCTGACTTTTACTGGGAGAACAGGAACTCTGAGCTTCAGACGGGAGGGGTGAGAAAACATATGTTGTGTTGTTGTAGAAAAAACAGTCTGAACCTAACAGAGTAGAGCTAAACAAAAGGTGCCTTACAGGATAAGAAAGAAGTACTTGTAGTAGTTATACCAGTATAATAGTAATATCCAGACAGAGAACATTTAAGAACAAATATGTTTGTATTGGTGGCTAATACACAGCTGTCATCTAGAACAGTGGTTCTCAACCTGTGGTACACGCACCACTGGTGGTACGCCAGCTCCCGCTAGTGGTACGCGGAGGGATTTTTTATTATTATTTTATTATATTTAACCTTTATTTAACCAGATGAAAACATTGAGAAAAAAATCTCATTTACAATGCTGACCTGGCCAAGAAGGCAGCAACCTTACACGTTCTTACACATAACACAGCCACTACATTGTGCACATTTGGGACAGTAAGGTGCACTACTTATTACTGCAAGAGCAGCTGGTGGTAAGGACCTCAGACAACTTCAATTTAAAACAGGCTATAGCAGGCATGGGCAAACTAAGGCCCGCGGGCCATATAGGCCTACGGTCCATTGGGCTTTTGGATCCGGCCCGCTGGATTGGTACAAAATTGTCCAAATTATAGTAAAGACCGCATTCATTTTGCCTTTTTCCTGCAATACCCGACATTTCAGTTGATCCCACTAGATGGCGCACTCTAGACACAATTTACCTTTGCTGGAGTCTGGTCTATTCTCTCAGCTGGCCCCACTCGGCAACCCGGCAAGATCGGCGAATACAAGTTGTAACAAGCAGTAGCGCTGAGCAAAGTGACTAGAACGCGACCACACACTTATAAAAAACACTTACCTAAAAAACACTTTTTTCAAAGTGGGTGGAGACGGTTGGAGCAGCTACTCAGAATGGTGATGAGGGTTATTTTGCCTGGACGACCGGCTGTGGCTGGCTCGCTCCAGGGAAGAAGCGGTTTTTCAGACGATACAGTTCGTATCTCATCTGTCAAGCCTGGGTTTCATTATCAACTGGAAGAAGAGCTGTCCTCTTCCCTCCCAGACATTTAACTGGGAGTGGAATTGAACTCAGCCCGCATGAGAGCGCGACTCTCATAGCAGAGAATGGAGAAAGTGACAGCTCTCCTCCGGTGCAGCTGTTAACCTGTCGGTTAGCAGGCAGCACGGTTTTTCCTCTGTCCCAGATGTGCCTACTACACACGGTCGTAATGAGCCCAGAGCTGTTATTACGCACTGTGTGAATAGCACTGCACACACCTCCGCTCATTCCTCAGCAGGTTTGAGCGTGAACGTGCCTCAATGTCCAGTTTACGAGCCTTCTCCTAAACAAAGACAGGATGAGAGCCGGTGTGAGATGCAGGGTGTGGAGGCCCCCTCGCAGCCTTTTCGTTCCGGGCCCCTCTTGGGTTGCTTCACGGGCAACGGCGGCGAGGGCTCTGACGTGGCTCGTCACCATGACAACCACAGCACATCCAGAGCAGGTCGTGCGCTCTCAGAGTATTACTCAGAGTGGCGACGCGCGTGTTCGATGGACAGATGGATAATAATAAGCAGCAAGGCTCACCGGTTAAGCCGGCTGCCCCTGACCTGTCGGTTATAGGCAGCATGGCTCGCTGCATAAACCGGCTGTCTTTAAAAACCTATTGGCGGGGCGGTGACGGCCCTCTCTGTGAGGCAGCTGTTAGGCAGGATATCAGCTGGTCACGTGGTGATCCCCCTGGGTCTCCTTCACAGTGAGGAGACTCCAGAGGTGGTCTATTTGCCTGCGTATCGACCCCGTGCGTCAGAGGAGACGCATGGTGTGCATTCCTCCTTCCGTGGGTTTGGATTGAACCCACTGGAAAAATCTCCACGTCAGTGGGGGTGCCCCTGAGCAGAGTGACGTCACACACCACAGTGTTCACAGACGCATCTCTCGCAGGCTGAGGAACGTGCATGTCGCAGGCAGTGGGGGGACAGTGGCCGGGTCACATGTCTCTCCATATAAACGTGCTGGAATTACTATATGGAAAGTGCTCCAGCACTTCGTCCCGTTGCTGTACAATCAACATAATAATAATAATAATAATAATTTCAATTTATATAGCGCCTTTCACGAAACCCAAGGACGCTTTACAATGGGAAGTAACAAAACAAAAAGTAATAATAAAGAGACATAGGCTGAAGAAAACAAAAACAGGAACAGGTTGCTGAGTACTGTATATTAGTTGAGGCCAAAGGCCTGAGTGAACAGATGGTGTTTGAGGTGTTTTTTGAAGGTGTCCAGAGTGTCTGCATTCCTGATTGCACAGGGGAGAGAATTCCAGAGGGTGGGGGCTGCGACACTGAAGGCTCTGTTGCCAAATGTTTTCAGCTTGGAGCGCTGGATGGAGAGCAGCCCTTTGTCAGAGGACCGCAGGTGACGAGAGGGGGTGTAGGGCTGAAGGAGGTCAGAGATGTATGGAGGGGCTAGGGAGTGGAGAGATTTGTAAGTTAGCAGGAGGAGTTTGTACTGGATGCGTGACTTGACCGGGAGCCAGTGAAGGTGGATAAGGGTAGGGGTGATGTGATGTGATGTGATGTGTTGATTCGAACAGACAACAAAGCAGCGGCGGCCTACATAAATCGCCAGGGAGGTGTTCGATCAGCGCAGCTGCGGAACACACATCCTACACAGCCAAATGGACAATGTTCCGTTTGGTGTGCAGGGAAAAGCCTGGACCCCGTTACGGGCCCCCTGCCTCGTGCTGTCGTTCCTCCAGCTGTTGCTGGACAGGAATTTGACCTATAGCACGGTCGAAACATATGCTGCTGCCATTTCATCTTGCCACGTAGTTTGGTGTCAGCACGGTGTTTAGTCACCCTCTGACAAAACGTTTTCTACAGGGAGCGCAGAGACTCAGACATGTGTCACGCGCTTTGACGCCTCAATGGGTTTTGGCTTTAGTGTTACGCGCACTGAGTAAAGCTCCATTTGAACCTTTAGATCAGGTTCCCCTGAAGTTTCTGTCAGCCAAAGTAGCTCTGCTCCTGGCTCTGACATCAACTAAAAGGGTGAGTGATTTGTCTGCTCTCTGTGTGGCTCCGTCATGTCTCCAGATCCAAGGAGATGGCAGCTCAGCTGTTTTGCGCCCTAACCCGGCTTTTATGCCAAAGGTGATCACAAGCTCGTTTAGATCCAGAGTGATCACTTTGGAGGGCTTCTTTCCTCCTCCTCACACATCAGAGGAGGAAGCCTCTGTCCCGCACGGCTGCTTTACGCAAATCCCAGCGTCTATTTGTGCATTATAGAGAGCACTCAATAGGGCAGCCTCTATCTGCACAGCGCCTGTCACACTGGCTGTGTGAGGCTGTGTGAGGCTGTGTCACAGGCGTATGTTTCCTCTGGGTTGGATCCGCCGGAAAACATTAAAGCGCACAGCACCAGGAGAATATCAACTTCTACGGCGTTGCACGGAGGAATGACAGTGGAAGACATTTGCATTGCTGCATCTTGGTCTTCACCCTGTTCTTTTATTCGTTTTTATTTGAGGGATGTCTCCCATTCCTCTCTGACACATTCAGTACTGAGTGTCCTGTCATAGTGAGTAATGTCGGGGGTTTTCAATTGCATGCCCTCTCTCCTGCCTGTCGGCACTTAGAGAGCGGCCTTTTGTTCCCCTCTCTTGATCGTTCCTAACAAGTGAGACTCGATCTCTCACTTGATACTTTTTATAAAAGACAGGTAGCCCGAGTAAGCCTACCTTCGTTCCCTGATGGAGAAATATTCATTTTTTAATGCTATATTCCCTGGGAAGGTGATGCTCCATTTACGCACGGCGAAATGGACATGGGTTATTAACTGAGTAGGTGTGTTTTGTGCTTCTGGTAACGGACGGAACCAGTGGGGCGTAGACTACATCCTGCTTCGCCCTTAACCCAATAGCGATAGCCTTAGAGGGCGAAGCCTTATACGATATAGAACTGGGGTTACGTAATGTAACCCAGCTTCTATGAGTATAGGCGCAGCCCTCTAAGATTCGGGCCCCACTGGTTCCGCGAATAGCTGAAGAAAAGCTGTTGGAGTGGATTGTAAGGCCTACTTCCTATTTATACGGAAGTGAGCCTGGAGGTGGGGCCCACGTCATAGGTGGGCGTGGAATAAGTCTGTCAGTGCTGCACACGTGCAGTGGGGATTACCCAATAGCGATAGCCTTAGAGGGCTGCGCCTATACTCATAGAAGCTGGGTTACATTACGTAACCCCAGTTTTCCTGTTGTTTTGTATTATTGCAGTTATCGGATGGAATCAATACATGGGCTACATGTGGCCATCACAAGTAAAATCATAACGAAAACTACGCCGGTAAAATATGCGTGTAGAAAACGGCTTATGCCACAATATGATAGCAACAAGTCAAGATAGTCTGATTAGCTAACATCACCTGTAGAATGCCAGAGAAACTTTCATAACAGCGTTGTGATGCCAAACAGCTTTCAGACTAAAACACATTCACTGATGGGGATGGGGGATATTTATCAGCTGCTTGTGTGACAGTTAGACAATGAAAACTTTGCAGTGGCCGCTGCCGCGAGTTAACGGGAGAATAAACTCCGGTAGACGAGCAGCACTGCAGCGGGCGGTAATGCAGCTGAACCACATTAATAAACAATGCACCACGGCACTCTGGAGAAAGGTACAATGTTGGAGAAGTAGTTATTTAATTGAATCTGGCTTCGTATAATTAAAAACTACCCGACGCTGTCCTCTATTGATGTTGTTGTGAGCGGTGTTGCGGAGAAAATCAGCGACGTAAAACGCTGTGTGGGTGATAAGAAGGCACGTAAACGGTTACGTCATGACACAAACGATGACGCAATAATTCACCTTTGAACCTAATTCACCTTTGAACCTGCATCTGTAACAATGGCCCAATCCCAAACCACTCCCTCGACCCTACCACTCCGTGACGGAGTGAACTCGTCTGTAGCCACACTCGCAGCTCAACGAGGCTCCCTCCTGTCAGATGGAGGGAGTAAATACAGCAGCAAGCTTTGGGACGGCCTCTCCTCTCTCCGGCAGAAACAGGAAATGCCGTAACTGTATGTAACAACGGTTTCAAATCAGCATCTCTTTGACAAAAAATGTAAATGAATAACTCAAATAAAACTCCAAACATCTTTCATTGTGTCACTTTTTTGTAAAGCTCTTTTAGTTTTAAACCTGATGTTTATAATCTTCTTAGTTTTTGCAACAGTCTGTAAATATACACAACTTTATAATAAAATGCACACATACCTTTTTCTAGACTAAACACAGGTACGATCCTCATTTAAAAACATATGAGGTCATCATGAGGTTGTTAACATGCAGTTTATCAGTGCCAGTGGATGTTTGCTGGAACTACTTGTTAACAGCTTGTTTCCTGACGGACACACACAGCGTAGAGACCGGTCAGGTAGAGACCGGTCTCAAGTCAGCACCGATGCAGACTCGGTGTTTGAGGGCTTGATAGCCCACTCCCCCTCCACACCGCTCCACACTCGTTGGTTTGGAACAGCACTTAATATGGCGGACCCTCCGTGTGAAGGCGCAAACGGAGGGGTAGGGTGTAGGGGTAGGGTGTAGGGGGCGGTTTTGGAATGGGCCAATGAGTGGACCAAAGAAAAGAAAAGTCAACATTAGAGGTTTCTCAATACTCAAATTTCCCCTCCTCGACTCCTCGACTCCTCGGTCCTCCGGTAGTGACCCGGAAATGAATTTCAGCACGCCATGTTGAAGGACATCTCATTTCTCTAATGGCGCGTTTCCACTGCAGGCCTCGCTCGGCCTCGCTCGGTTTGGTTAGGCCTTATTAGGCCCGGCTCACTTTAATGCTGCGCTTCCATTACAGTTTAGGAACTGGGGTAGTTACTATAGTAACGCAGTGTAGGCGGAGCCGTGACGTCGTCTTCAATGAGAGCCGCAGAAAAACAACACAGCCGTTAGCTCTTAGTACTCAGAGCTCACAGCTCCTCATATCTGTTCAGAAACTAGACAAAAGTTAAACAAGTACAAACCAAAGACTGCCTGTGTCATGGCGAATACAGTCCCCTGGTTTATTTATGTCTGTATAGGCCGTTGTTGTGAGTGTGGACGGTCGGAGCATATATAACGTTAGCTTAGCCAAGCTACATTTAGAAAACACGCATTTTAAAAGGGTTTTTCTCCTGCCGTCTATCTGCAGACTTGTCAAAGCATTAATTCATGGTTTTTACTAACCGGTATTAGTATGTTGTTACTTCGGCATCATTTTGAAACGTGTATTACAATTAAATCATGGTCAAATATGTTCATCGTGTTGTAGTTGTATCCCCCTTGCCAGCGATTCTCTCTCTAGTTTAGCATACTCAGCCCGACTCAGCCTGGTTGTTCCTGGCCCTAGAACCACGATTTAGTCGGGCCAGAAAAAAGGTGAAAAAGTAGCCCCGGGCCAAAACTAGGCCAAGTGGAAATGCAACCAAAAACGGGCCCCGCACGGCTCGGCACGCTTAAAGCGAGCTACCCGCTGCAGTGGAAACGCGCCATAAATGCACTTCGAGGACCGAGCATCGAGGAGCTCTAACCGAGGAGACACTGATGGCTCCTCCGCGGATGCATTTCCGGGAACGGTGGATGCACGGCCGGAGTTATCTCAGCCAATGACAGCTCTGCATGCATCCCTTGGATATTATTTTAGTAACTGCTTGAACGGCAACGCGATGTTTACAGTGAGAACAGCTGTGAGGTCCGTGCAGAAAGCAGAGCAGTGTGTATAATATATATCACTCAGTATAACAGGCCTACTCTCTTTATTTGCTGTAGTTTAGTAGATATCTACAAACAAAGAGTCGATCTTTTTCTAAGACCATTTAGTGCTTCACATAATAAAATACACAACGGCTGTAGCCTGATTATGCTTTAGGAGCTGTATGTGTGTGTGGTACAGTGTGTATAGGTGTGTGTGTGTGTGTGTGTGTGTGTGTGTGTGTGTGTGTGTGTGTGTGTGTGTGTGTGTGTGTGTGTGTGTGTGTGTGTGTGTGTGTGTGTGTGTGTGTGTGTGTGTGTGTGTGTGTGTGTGTGTGTTGTGTGTGTGTGTGTGTGTGTGTGTGTGTGTGTGTGGTTGTGTGTGTGTGTGTGTGTGTTGTACAGTGCGTAGATGCGGCGGACAGACGGGTCTCAGTTGGTTTGGTGTCCTCTGCTTACTTTTTAATACTGTAAATACAACTTTTGGCCCGTAATTTCAATTCCCCATTTCAGCGACCAGAGAGAGGGGGGGGGGATATATCCAGTCCCTCTGATTGTGTGTACGTTATTATGAAGTGCTCTCATACTTGTTTGTGAATCTTGAATTGGTATATATTTATATAAATATATTTGTGTGTGTGTCCTCATCTGCAGCCTGTTATTGTCTCATTATACCGCACTGTGAATGAATCAAAGTAAATAAATAAGTGGTCATGAACACATCTGTCCATCAGACAGAGGGCTGCTGTGCCTCCTGTCATCATTAATGGACGTCTCTTTAAAATGACGCTCAGAGGGAGAGGATGTTCTCATGTTCTCTAACCGCCTGCTGCTTCCCCTCCTCTCTCCTCGGTCCCCTCCTCAGTCCTCCGCTCGCATCTCCTGTG